ATACAATCCGTCACAACCATGTGGGATGAGGTGTCTTTCGTCCCTTGCCTTTTAGCTATTGCATGCCCCACATCCAGGATTTTGCCTTGTTTTGCTCTACTCTGCCCATTTCTTCCAAATATGTATTTCCGAAAGAATTGGAAAGAAGTTACAAAATAGTCATTGTCTTCAATACCTCGTGCTATTATTCTGTGTTTTATGATGTCATGTAATTTAACACTTCTAAAGCTGTTGAAGAATCTTTTGTGTTTCTTCAGTTGGCCTTCTTTTCCATATCAAAATGTCGCTGTAAAACAAAGCAAAGTAACTCCAAGAAATTTAATAGAAATGCGGAATATTCCAAAGCGACACAAGGTCCTATTTACGGTTTCTAAATGTGGTTTTTGTGAATTCTGAAGGTGCAGTAATGAAAAGAAAAGATAAGGAAAACCAGATCCTTAATATATACCTTTGAAAGAGATGTCTTCAGCGGCATTAAGCTTAAGCGTTCACTCCACCCTGGAATGCTATGGCCTATATAATGGTCATCCTGGCTAGAAACACTTAAATAATTTTTAAGAAATTTGCCATCAGTAACAGGTTTTGATCTTTTTGCAGTGTTGTGCATGAGAGTAAAACTTGAATGAACTGTGCTTCATTGGGTTTATTTTCTTCCGTAAAAATATCCTGTTACTTGTAACCCAAAGTTTAATGTGTGTAACATTCACATACATAAGTGTAACATTTTCCCCTCAATTTGCCATTTTTTTTAATGATTAGCACATTAGTTAGTATTCATCTGTATAGCAACGGGAACCATGTAGCTGCAAATCCAGCTAACAAACTAGAGACTGACTCATGCAGATATCAGAAGTACAAACTCATTAAGAGGGAAAAAATGGAAATGCCAAAATACTGGAGTTCCTCAACTGTCAGCTCACAAGCTAAATTTATTGATTGTACTGATGTCCCACCTTAACCCAGTCACATGGCCTGGCATAGATCATATAAACTCTAATCTATTCATTCTATTTCTTTTTCATTCATTAGCACTCCCACATATATACATTCAGTCTCTACTGTCACTAATGTTCTTTATATTTTAAATTGTCATTTCCTGAGATGCAGTGATTAATATCCTCCCCCCCCCCCGTTTTAGCTTATGTGCATATGCCAAAGTGCCGTTACTTGTGTTGTACTTGGCTGTAATGCATGCTTTTTGTATTAGCACCAAATACATAATTGAAGTTATTTTCGGGCTGTCTAAAATTTCTCCTGGGGCCACCTGTTTGAGACCTCTGTTGCAGATCACACTATTGATTTTATAATATTGCAGTCTTTAAATCACAAGAAAAAAACAGGATTTTCAGTAATTACTTGTATAGTTTTGTCTTAAGCATTTTAAAAAAGATTTCATTATGTTTTATGTAATTTCTTGATGCATTTCATATATTCAAAAGTATATAGGTCAGGTGACTTATAAGATGTATGGAATATGGTTTAAAAACTCATCTTCAAAATCCAAACAATAATCTTTAGCAACAGGCTAAGGATTGCTCTCATGTGAAGAAGTCCCACTAATCTGCATATTTTAAGATGTTTAGAGATAGCTGTGAATTATACTGAGATTCAAAAAGTCATACTACTATCAATGAAAAACATTCATCCTAGCCTGGATGCTGTCATCTGTCATCAAAATTTAATATGCCTTTCTCTATGCTTTACTATGCATAGAAAATTTTCTCTCTTCATATTTTTTTTTCCAGTGACTCCTTTTTATGATGATCACTCATTGTTCTGAATCATTTTTTTATTCCAAATCACCTTAATTAACACGAGTATTTGGAAGGCTCTATACTAATTAGTAATTATATTTTGAGAAACACTTTCAGATGTAGCTACTTTAGGAAGATGGTTGTTATGATAGGTTTTTTTGCATATATTAAATTTACCTTTCTTTAGTGGAAAGTATTCCATCTAAGCCATGTCATATTAGATTTTAATTTTTTTTTAAATCTTTTCTAGCACATTCATTAAGCTTACAGTCCTTTAAATTGATCTAAAGGAAACATCAACTGGTGCCGTATCATGATAAATTAGAGAATTCAAAGATCTTGTGGTTTTGGTGTGAACATGTTTACCTGAAGTATATCAAAATACTTCAGACAGTACTGAGGTATTTGCTTTTTTAACTTGCTTGCGTAGTTTGCTATCAAATTTCTGTAGAGATCTTGTGCACCCAGATCCAGTTTTTTAAAATGTACTGATAAGATCTTGTGCTATGTAATTCGATAACCTTCATTAAAACAAGGTAAAGAATCTCTTCTCTAAGTAGGTAAAAAAGCTGTCATATTTTTCCTTGTAGTTTTTGCATTAGTGGGGAGAACTTAACTTTTCTGATTTTGGCTGTAGTTCCACAAAAAATCAACTGGGAGACACGAAATTCATAATACGGAGACACAATATAGTGCTTAAAGGATGAAATTTAAATTGAAAAATTTTGCATGAATTTTAACTTATGGTACCTTAGAACATAAAATTGAGACTTAAAAAAATCTGGAGCTAAATCCTGAATTTTGGGAGCCAGTATATATTTTTATTCCAGTGCCCCTCTAAGACATTTTTTCCTAGGTAGCTGCCAATTGTTAATTTTTATTTTTAAAATTAATTTTGCTTACTTTTGATGCATGTCTATGGCGATGGGTGCTTGAATATAGTTATGTAAGTCTGTAGACAAAAACTTTTTAAAATTTTGCTAGAAATTTAATTTTAAAAATACAATTTATGTTTTTATGAACTTTGATGATGCAACCCAGCTGAACATATTGATGTAAAATATGCTTTTGAAAGGTCAGAAGCTTTTTGGTAAAAGGCTTTTGAACTTGATTTAAATTCAATACAGTACAAAACCCGAGATCCGGACGTCCAACATCCGGAATAATCTAAAATCTGGACCTTAAAGCCACCAACAAAATTTTTTTGGGGAATTTTTATTTGTGCTTTATGCATGCGCATTTGGTTGTTTTTCCCTGTAAGAAAACATGAAGAATTCCGATTCTTAATTTCACTTCGCCACTAAATAAAATACCTCGTTATTAAAGAAACAGTCATTTTTAGCATAAATTTGTGTGATCAATAATTTGGCTCCTTAGCTGCAAATCTGCTTGGCATACATCTCAAACAGAAACATCATTGATTTTACAACTGCTAATATTTTATATATCTGACACCAACCTGGCGAATCATTATTTATTATATTTAGAGATGGAAATTGAGGGATGAAAGGCTCAGTCGACCTTGCCCAGCCCTGGGTTTGAACCCCGGACCTGTGGTGCTGCAGCGCGACGCGCTACCCACTGCGCCACCGGACCTCAGTTCTCCTTTTATAAAGCTAAAATTTTATTCAAATTTTTATATTACTAAAATATTAATATTCAGAGCAATTTTTTTTTAAATTTAGCAATAATGGCGCTTTTACCTGAGTTGTGTTTTTTCAGGTGGAGGGGGAAGTACGGTGCCCAAAAAAGCGTACTTTAGCACATTAGCTGTAGAAAAATTAGTCATTAAATTTTTTACCTGTGTGAATCTTTATTTTTGGAGTCATTTTCGCATGATTTAATTGAACCAAATTAAAATGCATAATCAGAATTTAAGTAAATAATGTCTGCACATCTTTTTCTTTGGATCATCCTCCCTTTCATGTTTCATTGGTTTCTATTTTTTACTTCTGGACTACTTTTGCAAAAATTTCTTTTAAACACATTATTTAACATCCTTATTTGTTTCTGAAATGACACCAGGAAACTAATATTTAATATACCCATAATAGACAACAATTCTCTAGCACTCAAGTCAATGTTTAGATGGTTAAATTAGGTAAATAGGTTTTATGAATATCGCAAAACACATGAAAGCTATCTGCCTAAAAGGTGGGATGCTTTTGTAGAGGACTTTCTAAGGAAAACTGGCTGCTATTTACATTATACATCGAGGGAATGCATAAAAAACACTCATTCAGCTTGTTTCTATGTGTTCAAATTTGTGTCAAAACAACCAGTATTCAGATGCCTAAACCACTTGGCCAGTTATTTACTCTCAGTTATTTAAGTGGCTCAGTAACCAATGTGGAATAAATGAAGAATCTTCCCATTAAATTACACAAAATGTTTCTTCCTTGACTAATCTAAAATAATTTTGCTGCTAGAACTATCATCTAGAGAAATTTCACATCTGTAGGAATCATTTATAGAAGATTCACAAGTTTGGAACTCCAAATCTGAATAATCCTCATTAGTGTTATCACTTGGTTATGCAAACATAAAAAAAGCACTCTCACAGTTGCTAAGAGACAGCTTTGGTATCTGTTAGAAACAAATGTTGGATTAGCTTTTATGTTCTTTAAATTGCTTGGAATCCATAAAGTGACAGAATACTTTGATGATTCTCTAGGAAGCCATTGAATGCTCTAAAGGTGGTCAGTGATACTGCAGAAAGAGGAATCACTCTATTAAAAAAGTTTAACGAATCAGTCAGCGATGAACAACAAAAACAATTCTTATTGAATGTAGTCAAACATCACAGAAAAGTTTTTAACCAAGCAAACAAATGAAGGGATTGCAAAGTTGATTAATTTAACAAGTTTTACCTATTAAACTTAGTGTAAAGTTTTAACATTATTTTTTCTAATTCTCCTAATAAAAGTAATTAACATAAAAAAACATAAAAAAATCATAATTTTTGCCTACTTTTATAAAACATCAAAGTGCAACCTCTAAATATTATCTATTCTTGAAATTTGGCATACATATCTTTTACATCACTGAGACTCGGGGAGTAAGCAAAGTCTGCAAACACTCTATTATGTGCATATGTTGCTATTATTTCGTGATAAGCATGTATTGATTTTTTATTTATTTAACCTCGTATAGTATAGTAGGACTAGTATTAATAGATTTAAGACTTTGAATTTAACCATAAGTTGTGATTGTACAAATGCTCTATATATTCTTTTTTTTTAACAGGTGGATCCTGTCAGAACCATAGCAACAAATAGAGTACATTTGGGAGCCTTCCGAACTCTTCCTGTGGTAAGATTTTTCAAATGTACAGTGGATGGACAAAAATATGGAAACACCTTGTGAAATGCACGTTTGAAAAGAAAGATTGATTTTAATGAAATATGTAGGTGGCGCTGGCATTTTTGACTACTGACGCCACCTATACAACTTCGTAAATGTGGTAAACAGTTCAGTTGTTGTCGGAGTACAGTTATGTGAGGTTGTCATTGCATTATGTCAGAGTTAAGAGACTTCGAACGTGGGCAAAGTGTTGGAGCACGTATGGTAGGTGCTTCCGTAAGCAAGGTAGCCGAGGTGTTTAGTGTTTCAAGAGGTACTGTATCAAAGATTTATTCCGCATATTTGAAAAGCGGAAAAAACATCATCTGCTAAATCACAGCGCGGACGAAAGTGTGTCCTGAGTGATCGTGACAGACGATCATTAAGGGCAATTGTGACGAAAAATAAGAAGACCACAGCTGCAAAAGTTACTGCTGAAATGAATGTTGTGTTATTAAACCCTGTGAGTACCAAAACAATTAGAAGGGAGCTTCATAAACAGGGAATTGCTGGCCGTGCTGCAATTGAGAAGCCACTCATCAGTGATGCTAATGCCCGTAACAGGAAAAGGTGGTGTTTAAGTCATAAAGCCTGGACTACAGAGCAGTGGAAGCGAGTAATATGGTCTGACGAGTCTTCTTTCACATTGTTTTCCACTTCTGGCCGAGTTTACGTCTGGAAGAACGCCATCTCAAGCCTATAATACAGACTGCTTGTTGCCAAGAGTGAAACATGGCAGGGGTTCTGTTATGGTTTGGGCAGCCATATCGTGGTTCTCTGCTAGCCCCATGATAACTGTGTCAGAGCACATGACTGCCAAGACTTATGTGAACATTTTGGCCGATCAAGTTCATCCCATGGTACAAACTTTGTTCCCCGATGGTGATGGTGTCTTCCAAGATGACAAAGCCCCTGTTCACACAGCTCACATTGTCCAGGACTGGTTTTTTGAGCACAAGGATGAGTTGTCCCATCTCCCCTGGCCACCACAGTCACCAGACCTGAATATTATCGAACCTTTGTGGTCTACATTGGAACGGAAAGTGCGTTCTCGTTATCCACCGCCAACATCGTTATCTGAACTTGCCACCGTTTTGCAGGAAGAATGGTATAATATTCCCTTGGCAAACATACAGGAACTGTATTTATCCATTCCGAGAAGACTGCAAGCTGTTTTGGATGCCAACGGGTTTCCTACCTCATATTAAGCAAAGAAACATGTTTTTTTAAAGGTGTTTCCATATTTTTGTCCAACCCCTGTATCATTCTCTGAAATCATATGAGCATGTCAAATTTCTCCCCTATTTAAACGAAAAATGAAACACTTCATGCAAGAACATCATCATGGGCTGTATCACTAATTTATTTTTCATACAGGGAGCCGAATAATTCACATCTCTCAGCAACATCTCAGAACACACTAAAAAATAAAGTAGCCATGGGGCTGTGCTACAAAACAAGCATCGGCGTGATCGTGTAGTGCATTTAAAACACAAAAATATTACCCTTTTTCGCAGATGGCACTTCTGGCTTCAACATACGTCTAGACCTTGAATGTTACAAACATTCAGTAATAAATTTACAAACACAAGCTATATCAAATACAATGCTATAACGTTAAATTATATCAATTGCAAACACTCGGAGACAATACAATGGTGATTATACAGTAATACTCAAAACATGTACCGTATTTGACGGCATGTAAGACGCACTTTTTTTCCTAAATTTTTTATCTCAAAAAAATTACCTGCATCTTATACAGGAAGGACATAGGTTAACTTTCAATACTGAATGCTATTTTTAGCCCGGATAAAGGTCTAGGCACACATAACTTTTTCTACATCTACAGGTGTGTGGCCGTCTAAGTAAGGGTGCGTCTTATATTATTATTATATATATATAATTTGACAAAAATATTCGCAACAATAATCTTAGCAGAACTGCATAGTAGTTTTTCAGGCCTTATGAGGTTTTGAAATTCTACACATATATCAAAGATGAAGTAGACACCACATTTTTTCAGGTCAGGAAATGAATGAATGCTTGAATTGCTTTTCTCATCAACAGTGGGGTGAAGTCAGGCTTGCTGAAAATTGCATTGTCTCTAATAACATCAAGAAGGGGATGATTTGGTCATCGAATGATTGATATGACATTAGTAAATTTTTAAATAAAAGCTGGGTGCAACGTAATCTGTCATTTCACACATTTGTTTCATTCAGTTCTCTTTGTTGGAGAAAAATTATATTTCATAGCGTTAATTTTTACGATATGATGTCTTGAAATGATGGAACTGTAATCTGCAGCAGATGCATACACTTTCCACTGTATCCAGTGTCCACAGTTTAGGCTGGCCGGTATTGTAGACGCATCTGGGTGCATAGAGCTTTCACGTCAGTTTTGGACTGTTTTGGAATATGCTGCGGCAAGCATATAAGCAAGCACTGGTGGCTCGATTCAGTCTATCGGCTCCTAATCTAAACCTAGTAAAATTCGGTTCAGCGCTTCATATAAACAAATGATATAAGTTAGTTCATGTAGTATTGGTATTGTTATATTACTACTTGTTTAATGTCTTTGATAGTTTTATTATTTTTGCTCTTGTATCTTTGGTGATGAACTGATTTTTGAACAGCTATAAACATAATAAGGAAGCATGACTCGTAAAGGAAGCGTGACTGTTAAGAAATGCGAATATTGTGAATATGATGATGGTTATTTAGAGTTTGGTTTTATGTCAACAGAAATGAATGGTGAAAGTTATGGTAAAGACATGAAAGTTTGAGAATGAACCATGAAAGTTTTGAGAGCAGAGTATATGCTTTCAAGCAAAGTGCAATTTAGAAGCTTATCATCATTGCATGGTTTCAAACCTCGTGATATTTTTGGCTAAAAGTTAAAAAAACTGAAACCACAACAAGAAAAAAAAAATTTTAAGACTGCTTCAATACCAAACAGTGCTTCGCTAGTATTTTACGAGGTGGTTTATAGAATTGCGAAATGTATTATGCTTCATGCCATCAAAGAAGAACTTATTCTACCGGTTGCTGTAGATCTCGTGAGCCTGCTGGGAAGCTGCATTTTAAAGTACCCTTTTCCAGTAGCACATTTGAAGATCACAACATATGGAGGAGGACATCAATGATCTATTATTTGAAAACAATCAAAGGAGTGGAATTTGGGTTGCAGCTAGATGAGGCTATGGACAATAATAAGGATGCTCATTTGATATGCTATGCACGGTTTATAAATTGTAATATTATTAAAGAAGACCTATTTTGTAAAAATATTACTTCAGGAGCAGAAGCTTAGGACCTGTTTGAGAGACTGATACATTCATATCTGAAAATAATTCGAATTAGTCTAATTTCGTTGGTATCTGTACTGATAGAGCTTGCTCGATGTGTGACTGCTATGGAGGATTACTGACACATATTCAAAGCAGATCACCGAATGCACTGTGGACCCATTGCATTATTCATAGAGAAGTGCTTGCGTCAAAGCATCTGAGTCAGGTGTTAGAATGTGTATCGAATGTGGTAAATTTTATAAACCTCTTCCATTGAAAGCATGGTTCTTAAAAAACTGTGTGAGGATATGGGAGCTGAGGGCACATTGGTGCTCTTGTGATAATGTTTTATCATGTACCTTTGAATTGCAGCAAGAAACTTTTATTTCCTTAAGGATGAAGGATACAAAAGTGCAGAAGATTTTGCTGATGCCAATTTTTTAAGAAAACTCATATTTATGCAAGATATTTGGAAAGCTAAATTCCTTGATCTCTCTCAGCAGGGAGGAAACGTACACCATATTTTATGTATAATATTAACTCTTTTTTAATGAACTTTAAAATCCGAGTTGTGTTTCTATGTTCTAATCATAATCTATGATAAATTAACTATTTTTCCTCGTTTATTAATTCCTTTCACAACCAAAATAAGTTTTTCATTTATTACAAATTATTCATTATTATTTATTATAAATTTTCATTCTGAAATGGTATCAAAATATACTTGAGCATTTTGTTTATTGAATTAAATCAGAATTAATACACATTATTAAATACCGTATTTGATGGCATATAAGACACCCTTATTTAGATGGCCACACACACCACACACACACACAAAGTTTCAATAGCATGGTTTCTTTTAGTTCTCACGTTTCGTAAAAGCCAAATAAACAATTATTGAATGCAATTACCTTCATGTATAAGACTGTGTCCTTCACGTACAAGACGCAGGTAACTTTTTTGAGACCAAATTTAGGAAAAAAAGTGCGTCTTATATGCCGTCAAATTCGGTAGCTGTTAATTTTTGTATAATTAAGTTGGTGCTTATTTTAAAATGTGCAAGTCAAGAATACTTAAAATTTCCATATATGTCATTTATTTGAATAAACAGAGCTGTCTATGATATTTATATTTTGTAGATTTATTTTATTTCTTTAAAAACTATTCAGTGCATTAGATATTTTCCTTTACTTCTAGGAAATTATAGCTTCTCTGAAAGAAGAAATTTCTCCTGAATACCAGTCAATTCCTTTAGAGAAAATTGAAGATTTTGGAGCTTATGCTAATGCATACTATTCATTAAAAGTATCATATTTTCAGTCAGAATTGGATTCCAAGTTAATTGGAGCTATGTCAACCGAGTCAGCTTCTAACACTCTTAAATCGCCAAGTATTTTTACGGTTAGTTTTTAATTATAATGAACAGTACTTACATTAGTACAATAATCTTGTCCCCATTTTAATGCAAATCGCCAAATTTTCAGAATGTGCCAAACTCTGGCAACCATATTCATAACAGTCCTTCAGTCAAGCAATGGGGCCATTTTTGTAGTCGTTCTTTTTTGCTGCACTTGAAATTGAAATGTTTTTTAATAAACAAATCATGGTATTTTTTTGTCTTAAATGTAGCTTTAAAATATGAGCTTTTGAAATTTGCCAGCAATGGAAGAAACAGGTAAAATGTCTGAAAGAATGCAAATTGCTGAAAATCCTCTGAAGAGAACAATGAGAAAACAAGTTTCCTCAATACCCGCTGTTGATGATGAATTGCACAAAGCTGAATTGCCATGATTTTCTGATTTTTTTTTTAACTGAAAACAGATCACTGTGTACTTTAGAAGAAGAATAACGTAAAAAAATTACGAAAAGATTTGAAAAAGAATTTGAATGTTTTATTTTTTAATGTATTACATAATCCTTATTTAATAATTTGAAATTAATTTCTCAATTGTATTTTAAACTGCTAAAGTATGTTTTCTTTTCATATGTTGATAATGTTTACTGACCTACGATAAATATCGGTTTTGCTATTCTCTTTAAGAAAAGGTCCGAAAACCACCAACTTGCATCCAATAGATAACTTTTACCTTTTCATCTGTAGAATATCGCCAAATTGCGTCAAAGTGATTGCATTAATGCATGAGTACCTAATGAACTATTTTCAGGTATTATATGCTAAATAGCTATGTATGTATAGCTAATTCTTTTAATATTGTAAATCAATCAAGTAATTATGTAGGGATGTATATAAAAAGACCTTTAACACTGGAACTATCTTCCCTTCCTAAATAATTTTTTCCTGTTTCTTGGAAGTATTAAGATGTTAAGCATTGGAGACTATTTTTCAACATTTTAATCTTGGAAGTACATGTACGTGTTACAGAATTTCCTGCCATTAATTTTTCTATGTACACTACATTTCTATGTACATACATATAAAATAAGAGTATCAAATTAAGAAAAGATTTTCAATTATCATTTTCTAAGAATTTTGAGAAAACACAATTTTCCCCCCATTATTTTGATAAAATATTTTCATTGAATATGTTAACATATGATGACATAAAATGCTTTTCAATAACTAATCTGTAATTGATGTCACAGAAAAGTATTTATGAGGCAGTGCAGTACTTCACCGTAACAGTCACATGATAACATACGATCTTGTAGAGAGCATTTATGTGGTTACCTAGACATGATCTTAGCATGTCTGTTTGGCCAGTGTGTAATGCCAAAGTTGTATGGTGCTGAATACCTGTAATTCTCTGATTCTTTTAAGGCAAAACAGGTCACTGTGTATATGGGGAAGACACAAAAAAAGAAGATACAAAAAAAAGCACATGTGTGTTTTGGAAGGCACCCAATGCCAAAGTTTTGCAGTTCCTTGATTTTTTTACTGAAAACAGATCACTGTGTATGTGGGAAGAACAGCAGTGTAAAAAAAGATTCCTTGAAAAGGGTAAATGTATTACTGATGTTTCTTGCATTTTCAAATTTATTAATTGATTGCTCTAGTATGGAATTCTTAATGCAGCACCATTATGAAAGTGGATGTTGCCTGTCATACCATTAACTTAGTGAAACATTAGCCAGTAGTGAGTTTGCAAATGCTATCCTTAGTCATCACTGAATTGCCAACTTTGCAGTAAGGTTGTGGATAATCAGAAAGTGCCAAAAGTTTTTATATATGCACTTCATTAAAAGCTATTTTATTAGACTGAATTATTCAGTTAGAGCATAGCTAGCCTTTGACAGTTGCAAGATGAAGCATTTCTTTCTTCCCAAGAATGCATGATGTCTGTCAGTCAATTTGTTAAGAGGGTTTTCTGTAGCTAATGCCAGTGTTTACACTGAACTGAAATTTCAATAAAGTTATCCTCTTCACCTAGTGTGCTACTAATTTCCTTAACATATACTAGCCTGCTTTATATACCTTTATCATACTTCAGACATAATCATTTGTAATATGAGGCATGTTTCATAATAAGAATGCTCACCACCAGCTAAGTGGTAACGTTACTGTACACTAATAGTTCCACCCAAGTTGCAACCCTGCAAATAAGCAGGCTGCTTGAGAGTTTTCATGGTTTTCCTCGTGAGTCATTTTAAATATGAGCTAGTTTTACTTGGAAAGCCTCCATGAAGGCACCCTTTCTCTTAGAGTCTAAGACTTAGACAATTAGCCCTAGTATGCTTTACCATAGTTTAACTATTGTAGTCCTAAAGAAAGGGCCAACGAGAAATAAAAACCAGGCTCACCATTAACCTGTTAGGTCATTCTTATGCAACTGCTGAGTGGCTATTTCAATTATTGTACTTCTGTGGTTTTGTTTTACTGCTTATTGTAATGAATTAATAATGGGCACAAGCATAAAAACAGCTGCTTTGTTGTTCAGTAATTGAGTAGGTCTTAATGCTGCTGAAATTTACTGTGAATTGTGTCAAATTTATGGGACTGTATTAATAAATTGGCTAATATTAATACAATGGCAATGTGAAGTTTAGGGAATGTCAGTCATGTGATTGGAATGAAATAAATGAGAAGCCATAGTGAAACAGATGAATGCAAAAATTTGAAAATCATGCTATTTTCGATTAGTGATATTACCGTGCAGTCCCAAGAAATTTCATGAAGGAGAGAAGTGTAATTGAAAATTTAAAGCTAGTATAAATGTTGACTGATGAGCACAGAGACCGAAGAATAACAACTACACGTAAAGTTTTGGATACCACGAGAGATGAAAAAAGAGTGATTTTCCTGTGTGATTGATGAAGTAATGAAGCATAGTACTGCAGCAACTAGTTAAGGAACTAATCTACCCAGTTCTCATAGAGTGTATGCTATATTACTCTTTTTGCATTGTAAAACAATCATATTTTGAAAAACTTGCATTAACCTGTTCATGTAAAACAGCTCTTACTGGTTAATTAGTGCAGAATAACACCATTCCAAATATATTTAATCCTCAGACACCTTTACAGTAACTGCCACTCCCTATCGCTGATTGTTTTTAAAATATCTACTCGATTGTTTTTAAAATATCTACTTTTTGTCAGTAGCCATTGAAGTGCAGGCATATGTCTTGGTACAGAAATAGAATTTCTGTCTTGGTACAGAAATAGAATTTCTAAAAAGTTACAGTCAGCTTCGCTTATAGTGCAGATTCATATAGTTTGTTCACTAAAATCAGAGTATTCTCTTAACCTTCATTTTAAAAATTGAATCGAACATTGAGTGAGAAAGTAATATACTTGAGAAATAATATGTATTTATGTATGTTCATTACATTAAGTAAACAAAATCAATTTTAAATTACCCTCAATTAGCATGAAAATAATATTAAGTGCTGCTGTTTTCTCCCAGTGCTTTTAATCAATGCATTCTAGATGTCATTTTCTAGTTTATTTTTTACACTTGATTTGATATTTTCCATGCAATTTTGGTGCAGTATTGATATCATGTAATACATGTTTTTGCTATTTGAAAAGTTGAGCTTCAGGGAACTTGCACCAGTGTATCAAAGCAGGTTCAGAAGAGGCACATCATTCTTTTCAAATTCCACATATTGAGTATCCAAACCAGCCTTCTTGAGAGAGTTCTATATGGTGTCCATTCACACACTCCTGTATATTTTATTAGCAGACTAATAGTATTTGGAAAATTTTATTGATATGGTATGTTTTGATTCCAAAGTATGGATTAAATGAAAGAATTACTCTATTTAAGCTGCAGATTACACCTTCATACATGAGGTAAGAGATTGGCATGTTGTTTTTATAGGCTGGAACACCAACTTAACATTGTAGACGTTTTCAATACAAGGATTAACAAGGCATTTGTGCATCTAAAGTAGCATTTTTCTTTCTATTATTCACAGTTATTAAACCTGCTACCAGATTTTTGTTAAAAAGTGGATTGTGTTATTTAGGTTTTGCTGAACTGATAATTCAGCAAAGCTTTTAAAATATCTGTTTATTATTTGATAAACATAATAAACAGATATTTTAAAATTTGACATTTATTAGCAGTTTCTACATCTCTATGTGTATGTTAGCCTATATATTTTAGCATATATCCACAGTATTATTCAGGTTATTTTCCTTTTGTAGCCATGCAGTTTCTCTACTTTAAATTTCTGTGTTTTGTCCAACATTAATTCATAAACTAGTGTGGTCTCATCATCATTGAAGATGTGACCAGGTAAATGGCTGGTACAAATCCTTTGGTCATTTGACACTCAACGTCTGTGACATTATTTGTTTCACATGCATTTTCCTCCTGATAATATTTCTAACTGCAGTCCTTTCCTTCCATCTGCACAACCACTCTTTAACCCTTTCTGGCACGCTACCTATTAAAGTTGGAATTTCGGTAAAAAAAATGTAGGCAGTCTAATTAGGCCTAGAGGAGTACACAAGTAAAATTTTGTGAAGATAGCACTTATTGTTTTAATTCTGTGGATGTGCCTGAAGTGGGCACACTGATTGAATAGAGCTTTGAAAAGAGTCCTGAAACGAGCATTGCTGGGAAGCACGTAAAAGATTTTGCCTACGATTAAAAAACACTAGATTCTGAATACCATAGCATATTGAGCATTACCCAGGGTGTGCCACGAGGAGACCTGCTACTCTACACAGACCCTAAATAGCTCTTTTTTTGGTTATATGATGATTACATGCCTATGAATGGGGAAAAAAAGTAACTTGGGTATATGATATATAGTCTATTTTTTCATGGTGGTACTTTTCAAAGAAAGTGACACAACCTTTGAAAAAGCACAACCCAATATTGCATGTTTTGCACATGTACCGGGATCTGTATCAGATTCACTATCTGGAAGCAATTCGTGTAGCACTTTCAGTGCTTCAGAAATGGTCAGCCCTCTCCAATCTCTTTGGAAAATAATTAAAAATATGAAAAAATAAACTAATATTATATCTACAATTAGAAATTATAAACTATAAATAAAATTAATAAACATCTACAACTCAAAACTATGAAACGTAGTGCTAGCAAAACTTTGAACGAAAGCGAAAAAGAACTGCTCAAGTGAAAAACGAAACAGGTAACTGATAAAATTGCCATTGACCTTCACAAAAATCACCGCAACAATTTGTTAGTTGTTGATAACCAAACATCCCTTCAAAAAAAAAAAAAAAAAAGAGAGAGAGAGAGAAAGAGAAAAGAAAAACAAGAAATGAAACACAGATGTGGGCCCACCTTTCTGTTGTCAATGAACTGACCAATAAGATGCAGAGAAGAATACAGACTCTCCATTGTCCTATATATTATCGGTGAGCCCGCTCTGGGCACACCTGGGGTTGATTTTAGGCAAGATTTCAAGGTAAAAACTTAAAACTAATGTAAAATAAGATTAACACACAGCCAAAAAATAACATAAAAATTTCTTTTCAAACAATTCTTTTGTACCCTAAAAAAAATTTGGAAGATTTTGAAAAATGAAGGTCCTAAAAAACTAAACATGGCTAAAATATATGGACTGGTTTGTGTTGAGCTGCCATCTAGTATAAATAAAGAAGTTTCAGAGTAACCTATAGTAACTTATAAATCCTTTTTCATTCAATTTTTCTGTGCATACAGAAGGAAACTTTAAGGTGTGCCCAGTGGGCACACCGTGCCGCAAAGGGTTAAAGACACACTTTTGTAATCAAACAACTTTCATCCTTTAATGCATGTATAATGAATACATTGAATTAAAGTATTGTTTTCAGTACATTTTTTTAAGCTTTTACAAGATTTGCTTTGAAATTACTGCTTTTCTGCTTCCCTCCGTTTACAACCCTTTTTCGGGGCAGGGGGGTTACTGTAGCCAGCGTTCATTGTATTATAAATATATTAAAGTATATTCTTTATGCTAGGTCCAGTCCAGTGTAGCCAGTAGTTCACTATATAACTGAGTAGGCTGTACTTTTTTTGGTCTTCCCCTCGAACAAAAATGGATGTTTGTTGATAACAACACAAAACTATATATTATTCTTGCAGTTTTTTTGTCTAATGTTGAATTTTGCATAAAAATGTTAATACAGTACAAATTCCGTAATCCGGACGGATCTATAATCCAGACCTCAAAGCTACAAACTTTTTTTTCTATGCTTTATGCATGTTCATGCGTGTTGGGAGGATGTGTCTCCAGATATGTTAAAAAATGTTTGTCATAATTTATGACCAGCTACTATATTTCATGGTGAGGACGATGAAGATGATAGCCGCGAATTTGAAGGTTTTCGGACATCGCAAACTAAAGGTGAAATTTTCCAGCTTTTGGATTTGATAAAGAAATCTGGAGCAGCGGTAATAAATGAAGATGATATAACAGAAGTTTTTCATTGCGACGACAATGCCCCAATCATCAATCAATTAACGGACGGCGATATATGTAGTATCGTTCTAGATCCAGAAAATACTGCTTCCGATGGTGAAGAAAGTGACGGAGAGGTTATTGAAAACGAAAATATTTCGATTGACAAGTTAGTCGGTATTCTCAACACAGCAATTACAGGACTTGAACAGTGGAACTTTGTAACTGAACAAGAAATTATGTCTGTTTCTAGAATTAAAGAGAAAGTATTAGCACAAAAAATGAAGCAACTTAACCAACTTACATTGAAAGAAATGTTTAATAAAGTAACCAAATAAATATTAAGCTGCTTTTTTTTTTTGGAAATTTTGATTCCCATTAGATCATAATTGTTCTTTATTTCATAAATTACGGTCTCATATTTTTAATTTTATAATTTCTGCATGCCATCTTACCAGATGTAAATTGATGATCTATAATCCGGAAAAACACCTAATCCGGAATCGCCGAAGACCTGATGAGTCTGGATTACAGACTTTGTACTGTACTTGGTTAAGTTAAAAAATGTATAAAGATGCAATATTTAACTATATATCTTAATATTAATTATTTTTTTACAGTATCCTGGTTATACAACAGACCAAGTGTTAGACATAGTCAGAAAGCTAAAAACTTCAGAACAGCAAATCATTGATAATGATACTGATGTTAGGTATGATTACGAAAGAATGGAGCGAGACACTAATTTGGAAAAAGCAGCAAGAGATGGCTGCAAATTGATCACTGAAGTGATCAGAGGTATCATGACACAAATAATTAAAGACCGACTATTTAATCAAGTAAATCTCAAATAAATTGTATTTAAAACTGTTTTAAGACAGTTTAAGATTGTCTTTCAAATTTGTATTTTGAGCTTTTAAAACAGTCATTTTTGTATTGTGAGATTTTAAAACTCATTTTTATATTTTGAGTTTTTTTTTTTTAACTTTTGTATTGTTTGCCAAATAAACTTTATAAAAATGTGCATTATAAAGTTTTATTTTAAAGTTTGCATATTTGTTTCATATTTGATCACAAATATTCGATAATGAACAATGTTGAGCGAGTAAATAATTTATAGTATATAATCCTCATATAATTATGTATTAAACAATCCTTATCATTAAAGCATTTTAAAAACTCTTTGCGTCAATTATTCCTTGTAGTCCACAAAAGAAAGGGGTGCTTTAATACTTTTCCACAAATATTAAATTTGTTACATTATATATAGAATTGTTTACAATTGATATACCTATTTTTAAAGGACCAAGGTGAAGTTCTCTTGTAGGGTGCAGCTGTGGCATGTATGTATATCAATGTAAGCATGAGTGAATTTCTTATACTTTGCTAAAGTTCTGTTCACAGTATGCTCAAAAATCGCAGCAACATTCTTAGCCACGTGCCATAACATTGAGACAATACTGAAAGAAGTGAGTATCTTATTCTACTCTTCTGGTAGCAATTATGGCTCACATACTGGAGCTATGGGTGTTCTCATTTATTTTTTCAGGATTCCTCATTTTCCTGGATAAGGGAAGTAATAGAAGTTTTTCATTGCGATGACAGTATCCCACTCATCAATCAACGGATGACGAAATCTGTAGTATGGTTCTAGATCCAGAAACTACCGCTACTGATAGTGAAGAAAGTAACATAGAGGTTATTGTAAAAGAAAAAAATTTCGATTCATAAGGTAGTCGGAATTCTTGACCCAGCAACTACAGGTTGTTTTCACTGAATCCTTAAATATTAGTGAAGTTTTTTTTTTTTTTTTTTTGTGTGTGTGTGTGTGTGTTCTTTCTCCATTATTTAGTATACGTATTTGGCAGTATTAACCCTGAACCTTTTAGTTTATCTATTAAGACTGACAACTTCTCTTGGTGTTCTTAATGTATTACTGCTCCCCTTATTTTGTGGCATAAAAGCCTACTTCACTTTATCCTCAACAGCTGAACTCAAAGTGATGATTCCATAATCATCTTTTACATTAGATACTTTTTCTTTTAAAATAGTTATCTGAGTTCTGCTATCTATCAGTTCATTCGATTAGCCTTCCATTCACATTAACAGTAATACATTTTAAGAGCTGGATGATCTTCAATGTTTGTACTGTTTACAATAATCTCCAGAGTTGCAAGAATTCTCTTTTGCTGTGACAGCTTTTGTTATCTTTTTGTGGAGTTGACAAAATCTTTTTTTGTTTTGTTAATTCTTTCCTCGCAGTTTTGAGCTAAATGACTTGATTTCCCACAGATGGAACACTCTTTTGTCCGACTGTATGTGCAAGTCTTCCAGCTATGCAGTCTATGTCCTTCTGTTTTGTGTGTAGCTCGACTCCTTACTGTATGGCACCCCTTTGGACTAAACTGGCTTTCTCGATGCATTTTTATGTAGACTTATGTCTTTTTATTTAATATTTCCATTAATTTGTCTGCTACAATTTAATTTATTTAAAGTTTCAAAATCTTCAACTTTTCTTAAGTTACAGATGTAATCTCATGTTGCTCTTAACCTTGAGGAAAACCGAATATGTGTTTTGTTTCTGAATCATTTAGCTATCTTAAGCATATATCTGCCATCAGTTCAGATTCTTCTAAGTATAATATATTTCATGCATTTATTCCGTTTTAACGTATGTTTACATCTTTGTTGCTTTTTTGTTCTAATATATTCAGTAATATTTTTTTCATTTGGTTGGGGGTGTTCATAATTTTGAAAGCTTTCTTTAGTGAGGTAAAGAATAAATTCCAGGCCTTCAGTTACTGCGTTATGAGAATCTTTAGGGTGTGAATATTTTTATATCTTCTAATGATAATTGTTGTTTTCGAATTGGAATTCCTGCTTGAATTGTTTGTACAGTCAAAAGTCGTTAATCCGGACTCGTCGGGACTTCGGCGATTCCGGATTATAGATCATCAGTTTAAATCTCATAAGATGGCATGCAGAAATTCTAAAATTAAAAATATGAAACCGTAATTTATGAAATAAAGAACAATTATGATCTAAAGGGTATCAAAATTTACAAAAAAAAAAAAAAAGCTTAATATTTATTTGTTTACTTTATTAAACATTTCTTTCAATGTAAGTTGTTTAAGTTGCTTCATTTTATGTGATAATACTTTCTCTTTAATTCTATAAACAGACATAATTTCTTGTTCAGTTACAAAGTTTTCCGCTGTTCAAGTCCCGTTAATTGCTGTGCCGAGAATACCAACTAACTTGTCAATCGAAATTTTTCGTTTTCACTAACCTCTCTGTCACATTCTTCATGTCTTTATCCATTTTTTTGCAGCAATTCCACTTTTTTGTTTGTTGGACATCGAAACATACTTTCGTTTTGTAGATCCTTTGGAAGTTCCAGCATCGGAAATTCTATTTGACATAATCGAAAGTTTCAAGTTTACTTTTATAAAATTGCTCTTACAGTCTGCAAAAAATAATAAGCGGGATCCAATTCGAAGATTAAGGAACAACGCAATCATTAACATTAACTGAAATAGATAATTAGATAATTTTAGCATACACCGTCCGTTATGCATTAAACGCGCAGGCGAAAACGTATTCTGCACTTGCACACACGCATATGCGCAGTAGTCAAGGTCTTACGCGCAGGCGTAAAACACCTGTGCGCATGTGCCAATGCGGCGCATGCGCAGAAAGTTGTTAGCTTTGAGATCCGGATTATAGATCATTCCGGATTGTGGGTGTCCGAATTAACGACTTTTGACTGTACTTTGGACATGAGCTAGTTTAGTCGATTCTCATATTGTAATCTTTAATTTTTTCTAGTTCAAGAACCTTTCTGAAATTATGCTTCTCAAAATTTTATCCGGATCATTCTAACATTCTGAATTTTGCAAAATAAGTCGTCTTAGATCTGCTACTGTCAAGTTAGCAGGAACAGTTTGGACAATTCTTCTAATGACGTACATTAAATATTTTCTGATTCCATTTATCAGGAGCTTTGTTTTCTTATCCTGGTGCAAAATAGTCTGATAATAACTGGAACCTGTCTACCTTTCTTAACCCTTAAATGGATGTAGTTGCCATTTGGCGACATACTCATATTTAGTCACGTAAATCAAATCAAAACACAAATTTTAGCTTACTGCATAGTGTAACCAATTGGATACGTACTGTTTCACATGTAGATTTGAAAGTTTTTGTGTAACACTAACAATGTAACAGTCATTATTATGAGTTGATGGGTAGGCTGTGGACATAATTTGAGTTTATGAATTCTTGATTTTGGGTTTGTTGCTATTTTGATGTATTCAATGTTTTAAAATTGTTTGAGCATAAGGTATGTATTATTACATAAAATTGTTATTACAAATTTGCTTATCATATTTTGCTTGCATAATGCAGCTATTGAGCAACAATATTTTTGAAACATTGGAATAGAAACTTAAGTTTTTGATTTTTCCTATTTTATTTGATATCAATTCTAATGTAATTTTGACTTAAATTTAAAAAAAATAATTATTCATTCATTTAAGCATTCATAATTCTGATGTATAAAAATTATTTAATTCTTTTTTAATCAGAAACAGTTTTCAAACTTTGGCATAAATACACTGTTGTGACTGATTAACAAGGATTTTAGGTAAAGCTCAACACATTTTTTCTTGATTATGAAATCTGAAAAGAGATTTGAGAGCAGATGTAGCGAGAAAATGCAAGCTTGAGGAAAAAAGTAAAAAGTAGAAAAATCTTTTTTTAGGCCATCATACTAATCATAGAAAATAATAATAATTATTTAGGAATCTGAAAACTGATGCTGGTTATCTTGAAAATTTAGCATTTAGAAATTTAGTTGGATCACTTTCCCATTAAAAGAGTATTTTAGAAGGAGAGGAGCATTGTATTTGGCATAAACTGGTTAATTACTAATTGTTGCATTAAATCTCCTTTCGATTTCAGTTATACTAGTAAACATAGCAACTGTATAAAAAGTTGCTTTTTTATTAAGGAAATAGTGTAAGTTTAAATCATGATAACACCCTGAATTTCATTTTATAATAAAATTTAAAAAATATTTATCCATCCTTTTTTTTTTTCCTGCTGATAGAATTTTTTGAGTAAGTACAATTTCTTGAAATTTTAAAAATGCTAATAGAATTTTTTAAGTACAATTTCTTGAAATTTTAAAAAATGCATTCAAGCATCTCTTTTGCACATCACAGATTTTTAAACTTGGCTTTTTTTTTTTTTTTTTTTTTTTTTCCCTCCTCCTCATTGGTTAAGATATCCCAGAGAAGAGGTTTATAAAGTTAAAGCTTCACTTGGTTTACGTGTGTTTTGTTTTAGCATATTACACTGACATTAATTTGCAATAAAGACACATTTCACTTCATAGTTTCAATACCGTAACAGCAAGAAAATATTTGTAATTTCTAATGCGTAACATACAAGTGCATAGTTAAATGATGAATCATTTATTATTTATTTTGTTGTGCATGGTTTCCTTGTCTTAAAAGATTTCTATTCAAAAATGAGCCAACGGAAAGCTCAGAGTGCCTTAATTCTTGTACATGTCACTATAATTCATCCATATAAATTAAATATGTTACTAGAGAAAATTTTTTAATGTAATTAAAAACTTGAGAAAAAATTCACGTAAAATGTGTATCTGAATTCGTACTACATATCATCTTTATAACATTCTGCCAAATTAATCTTTCTTAAATTATGGACATTTTCTAAATTGCATTAGGAAATAACAAATGTAGTGAATCAGAACAATCAGCTTTAAAATTATACAAAATTCTATCTTAGAATGACAGTCATTTAAAGACATTTTTTACTTGTTCTGAAAGAATCTGCCAAAGGTCCCCTCCCTATTTTGTCGTCATAAACTGTTTTTATAAATTAATATATACAGTTAATTCGGACACCCATAATCCGGACCTCAAAGCTACAAACTTTCTGCGCATGCGTCGCGTTCACGCATGCTCGTAAGACCTTTATGGCTGCGCATATGCGTGTGCACATGCACGTTTAATGTATAACGGATGGTATAAGCTAAGATTGTCTATTTCAGTTAATGTTGCAGGTTGCGTTGTTCTTTAATCTTCAAAATGGATCCGGCTTATTATTTTTTGCAGACTGTTGGAGCAATTTTATAAAAGTAAGCTTGAATT